TTTATTTTGGACATCACTCTCCACTGAAGAATTGTCTGAAACATTGCTGGGATGAAGTGGGCGTTCGTTAAATACTTAAGTAAAAGCACAAATGCCTGGGCCCTTCAATCTAATGCAGTCTTGTCCTGATTACAGAAGAATTTTTTGCTTCATTCCATTGAAGTTTTCTTTATTCACAGTTTGCTGAAAGTGTTTATCATAAATATCAAGTTGTACAAATATCTTTCTGGACCTACTGAAGTGATTTGTTTCCTCTTGATATTTTATTGCCATCAATGATATATTTTACTAAGAGCTGGAGTTCTAGTTCTCTAAGTTACTGAAATAATCTGCCCCTGAAGGCTTGGGAGAATTTGCATATCTTGACCTGACCACTTCTTTCTATGCAAATTGTAAACTGCTAGTGAAGTGTCCCTTGTCCTGTGTGCTTGGCACCAGAAGTCATTCAGAGTTCAGTTTTTCTTGAATTTTGAAGTGTTTACACAAAATGGATTAAGATCCCGGAGTAGACTCGGGTCCACACACAATCCACTCAGGTTTGACGGCACCTTTCCACCCAGCCTAGGGTAATCTGTGCCATCCTCCCATGCACACTGGGCTGGTCTCGCCACACGGGGCCAGGTGTGGGACTTCCACTTGTGAATCTGCACTCTAAGCCTTTGGATTCTGGAACATTTTCAGTCTAGGGACGCTTAGTCTGTGCTAGTGATTCAGCACTCTAATGGCTATCTTAAAATATTCATTCTCATCTATTTCTTTTTCTTTCTTTTTTTTTTTTAGTTGTCAATGGGCCTTTAACTTATTTATATAACAAGGATTTTCTTGTGATGTATTTCATTATCATGTAACCTTAAATATTTTCCCATTTCCATATCCCTTTTCTTTAACCCATAAGTTACTTAGAATGGCTTTTTCTACTATAATTTCTCAATGCATATTTTTTGATTTTTTTAATTAGTGTTTTCTATTCATGAAGAATGCTGTGATAAGATCATAATTGGCATAAAGGCAGCTACTTAATATTAAATTATATCTTACAACAGCCTGCAGTCAATTTCTATAAGGTCTCAACTTTATTTAAGGGATGGATCAGTGTTACTGTCCTGATTTTTGATCCTGTACTGTAAGATGTTAACAATTGGTGAATGTAAAGAGGCTTCTTTGTGCTGTTTAATTTTTTCTAGATTTCTAAAAATCCAAAATCACTTCAAAATGAAGTCACAAAGTTTTAAAAACGTGTCAACCTATGAACTCGGAAGTCAAGAATCCCTGCCTTCTCCAGGCCTGTGAAGCTCCTGCCTTTTCAATGCCATCGTCCAATCTCGGATGATAACTAGTAACAGGCTGAATCTTCCTTTGTACCTGCTAATAACCAGAGAGCAGGGTCAGGCCCTGATGTGATAGGACACAAGACAGCCTCAGGGACCATGTCCATGCCTGTCACCACCCCAGGTCATAATCGGCCCCACGGAGAAGAATGTTTGGCATGCTAAGACTTCCAATACCATGGACGCACACATGCCTGCACACACACAGACTCGCCTGTGTAGAGACACGGGTAAAATCTCAGACATTTTGCTGCTATAAATACAACTCTAGAGATAATGGTATAACCACACTCTTCTTCCATGAAGAATGTGTGCTAAATAGTTTAAAATGGATCTGGGTCTATGCATTCATTTGTGAAAGCAAACCAGGGAAGCACTTGTAGATGAAAAACATGAGACAAAAAACTTCACCAACTGCTCTGCCATATACCAGGCATATCATTGTCTCTGTATTGTTTTCTTGTATTTTTAGTCCTCTGAAATGGCAAATAGGCCACTGAGAAACCTAAAATGGCTATTCAGAATCACAACAGCACAACAAACGGGCCCTCACCAGGAAGCCACCCCTTCAGTCCGTCTACTGGCTCCTGTCTTTGTGACTAGTTTTAAATACAGTGTGTGATTGAGGCAAGACCTGGCAAAAACAAGATAAGAATTAAAATTAGATAAACAAAGCAAATTCCTAAAACATTTCACATGCAAGAAATCTGGTGTGCAGGGGGAAATGATCTATTCTGAACATATTCCAGCTCATTCTGCACTGACACCGGGGAATAGATGGGAGTGGGCAACCACGCCAAGGGTTCACGGGTAAACAGCTCCTATTCTTATTGTAACTTTTAGAAAAGTAATCACAAATATAAAATCACCCCATTTTTAAAATAAGAGACAATCCACTGGAATATGGTGACGGGGAAGGTAAGAGGATCCCACTCTGCCTCTGCCTCTTCCTCATCTGGGAGCAGATCAGCAGGGTCTCCTCAGTGACCAGAGCTGCTGGCTGCCCCTCTCCAGGCCCTCACACCTGGGCCTTGACCATAGGAGAAGAACCCAAAGGAAGAAACTGCTCGGAGGGCCTGGGACTCTTTTCTTTTTTTTTTTTTAATATTTTTTAGTTGTCGATGGATTTTCATTGTACTTGATGCGGAGAATTGAACCCAGAGCCTCACTCATGCTAGACAAGCACTCTACCACTGAGCTACAGCCCCTGCCCTTGGGACCCTTTGCCTACCATGATCAACGTGTGAAAGATTACCTAATTTATAAAGGCTTACAAAATTTACTTACAGGAGTGAAAGTGTCTGTTGTTAACCGAGAATAAGTGCTATTTTCCAGTCCACTGTAGGCACTAGCACAAGGAGAGCCCAGTGGGGTCCCAGACAAAGAGGAGCATGTTTGCCTGACAGAAGCAAGTGGCAGTCATGAGCCAAGTCAAGTGCTGCTTACCATAGCCTGGTTGTTAGAGGTTCTGCAAATGGTTTACCACTGGGGCGGCATCTCCCGAAACTGAGCGTCTATTTTATGCAGCAAAAATTCCACTTTCAGATCCACATCCAGAAGACACAAGTGCATGGCTTCCTCAAAATATTTTAAGAAAACATTCATAGAAATATTACTCATATCAGCCACAACCGGAAATACTCCAAAGACCCTTCCATAGTGAAAGAGAAATGCACTGTGACTTGTCCTGGAGTGACATGCTGTGGAGCTGTGAGCTGGAAAGAACCGCTACATGCAACAACATGGCAAACGTCACAGTTACAATGACGAGTAAGTGCCGGTGGACTCAGACGAGAACATCCGGTACCAACAGTTAGGATTTGTAAGCCACCCCCTAAAGCCCAAGGGTCGCAGGCTTTGTCCCCAGCTCATGGCACTACTGGGAGGTGGTAGAACCTCTAGGAGGCAGGGCCTGGGAAAGAGGTGAGGTCCTGGGGCATGCTCTTGAAGGGGACATGGGGACCCAGCCTCTTCCGGACTGTCTTTGCCTCCTGGGGACCATGAGGAGGCCAGTTTCCCTGCTGTGGGCTCCCAGCGGGATGCCCTGCCTTCCCACAGGCTCAAGGCCTGAAACCATGAGCCAAAGCAAACCTCTTCTCCTTAGAAGTCGTTCATCTCTGTCCCAGTAATGGAAAGCTCACCAGCACCCAGTGCGCCCTGCAGAGCTGGAGAGGGGAGACCGCGCCTGGCTAGCAGTCAGCAGGCAGTAGTCATTGAGGACAGAGGAGCAGAAAGACGGGGTGTGGCAACGGCCGGGCAGCATTCCCAGGGTACCACCACTTTGTAAAGATGCACCTTGTGTCTGTGCCTTTAATTCAACTGAGAATTCAGATCTGTGCATTCTTCCATCAATGACAGAAACATCCATAACGCAGCCCAGGGCAAGGACCTCTTCCCACAGTGACTCACAGAGCATTTCTCCAAGTGCCATTGAGAGCTGCAAATCATTCCCTTGGGATGTTCTGCTAATTCATAGTTCCCACACAAAGGAAGCTTCAAGCAGGTGTTTGTACTCACTGCTCTTGACTTAGGATTTAAGGCAAAAGGATGCCTAGGTTGGGCCCATATACTTAAAACTTAAAAATGTTTTGTTATAGGAAAACCTAGAATGAAATCATTTTTCCCCCCTTAACTAAGTTGAGGAAGAAAAAAGGCAACTTGGCCAACTACGGCTGCAAGAGATTCCCACATGCACTGTTCACCTACTCTTGATCCCATTTCCTGTTTTCTGTTTGTTTGGGTACCAGGAATTGAACTGGGGGCACTCAACCACTGAGCCATGCCCCCAGCCTTATTTTGTATTTTGAGACAGGGTCAGAGTTGCTTAGTGGCTTGCCATTGCTCAGGCTGGCTTTGAACTTGGGATCCTCCTGACTTAGCCTCCCAAGCCGCTGGGATTACAGGTGTGCCACTGCACCTAGTCTGTTTCCTGGTTTTTAAATAAACTTTTACATAACCACAGTGTTTTCCTCATAAATCATACAAGGAAAACGGGATTCATATTTCAATAATGGTTTAAACTGAAAGGAAAATAAAAGTTAAAACTATTTTACATGGCCACATTCTGCATCCACTGACAAAATGTTCATCTTTTAAAGCTATAGATGCACATGCTGTAGACTGCAATAGTGTACAGCGTGAGCCTGTGACGTGATTCTGTGTTACCTCTTTAAACACCTGTTGCTCCAGGAGAGGAGGATAATAAGTGGGTATAGAGGTGAACAGACCCTCGGCACATGTGGAACACATTAGGGGTTCCAGACACTTCACAACACTTCATAGTGGTTCTCACCTGATCGTCAAGTGACAATTACATGAAACCAGAGGACCCGTGGTGCTATACAAATGCAGATGGAAGAGGAGGCAGAGGTTCTGAGTCCTGTTACTGGGCTGTCTGTCAGCAGCCAGCAGGGGAGGGGACCAACCACTCCCCCAGCATCAAAGCCCTCCTCCTCCTATCACTTCTTCTTCCTTTCTCCTTTTTTTTTTTTTAAGAGAGGAGAGAGAATTTTTTAAAATTTATTTTTCAGTGGACACAACACCTTTACTTATTTTTTTATTATGTGGTGCTGAGGATCAAACCCAGTGCCCCACACATGCCAGGCGATCGAGTTAACCACTTGAGCCACATCCCCAGTCCTCACTTCTTATTAAAAAAAAAAAAAAGCAAAATGAATTGCTAAATATATTTTATTTGGATCAACAAGGAAAAACTTAAGAACCAGAGATTTAAACAAAGTTTGGTTTTAGATACAATCTTAAAACACTTTCTTAGTTTTGAAAAGTGTCTTTAAAAACTTTCTACATGGAAAGTTGATGTAGACTGGGGCATTTTTTTCCAAATACTATTTAAACAAATGAAGGCAACTACTTAGTGAAGTTTACTGTTAATGAGATAAGATGACAAAATACAAAGGAGGCAGCTGTTACAAAAATGTTAAGTACTACGGCATTGTCAAGTATGATTCCTGATAAAATTAGAATTACGATCATGTCCTCTGAGACGCTGGAGCTTTGCAAGAGTACATGCATGCTCCTAACTCCAGGATGCTAAGGCCTTCAGTGACACCTCTGCTTCCATAAGGCAAGTACCAGGTGTGTGTGAAAGGCTGGGATACGTGGACTACAATAGCAGCAGTTTGAAACAGAAAAACCAGAAATAAAGGGAAGTTATATTACTTCATCATAAATGTCTTCATTTCTCTTGGAGACTTTACTTTATATAAGTGCAACTAGTTACTTTTAATTAGTGCTTTATATGCATAAGGTGAAATTGACCTACATCTAAATGTTTAAAGTGAAATTAATTATAAAAAATACATACATGCATATACAATGGAGAAAATTCTTTTCCTTCTGTGAAACGTCTGGGTAATAGATAATATAAGAGGTGAAAATTGCATAGTTGAACCAAGCAAAAACTTAAGTGGTACATTTATCCTCTTTTCAGTCTAATTGTGCAATATTTAAAATTGAGCTTTTTAAAGTTGTTTATTCTTCTAACTGGAACCTAAAATCAAAACCACTAAACTTTCAATTATTCTTGTACTTAATGCAAGATTTCTAGAGGTTTTTTTTTTTGTTGTTGTTTGTTGTTAAACTTTCTATGACATTAACTTAAAGAGGGGCATTTTTTTAAAAAAAACTTAGATGTGGTGCTGAGGATCGAACCCAGGGCCTTGCATACGTGAGGCAAGAGCTTTACCGCTGAGCCATAACCCCAGGCCCAAGAGGGGCGTTTTTAACAAGAAAAAATGAAACCCGAGACTGTCCATAGATGTCTCCATGTCCTACAGATGTGGGCACAAGTTCCAGGGGACATGATGGAAGATCACTTTTGGAGAAGTCACTTCTGCTCTTTGAACCATGTGCCGCCTCTGAGAGAAGAAGCTGTGGTACATTGTTCAAGATAGAATTATACTGAAAAGTGTTTCTAATTCTATCTTTCTGAATACGGGCTCTATTTCTTGTAATTCACATGACACTCTTTGGCTGTGGTTGTCTGTTAAATTTCCTGTTTTGGACCACTTTCAGCAAACCAAAATAAACAGCTCACAGAAAAGGCTATGGTAACTACTTTTCCCCTTTTGGCACTTCCAGTTAAGTGATTTCCCCTTAGAGGTGCAGAGGAAGAGGGGCAAAGAGCCACAGACACGGCACAAGTGGGTCACAGAAGTTTCAATGCCCCAAAAAAGGTGCCATCTCCGTCCCGAGAAATCTTTGCATCTTCTCGTGGTATTGCAAGTTGAAGTTCATCTCCTTCCTCCAGCTTCGCAATGCCTGGGGAAGAGTGATTTACAAGGACTTAAAATGGTTGTTTTGTGATAAAGGAAGAAAACAACTTAAAGCAAAATGTTTCAGAAAAAAATTATTAAAATAAGGAGACACATTTTAGGTGCATCAAGAGACCAGCTGCAACACTATTGGCCTTAAAAGTAAAATAAAGAAATACGCAGGAGGAGGTACAACAGAAACAAATAGGTTTATCATCTGTTTATAAAATGAAGACTCAGAAAAGGACCCAAAAATCAAACTTTAGAAACAAGTTAAATAAGTTATGTAGCATATCCCTTGATAGAATATTACATAGAGAAGGGTTTTGCTTAATTTTATTGAAAAAGGAAACCTTTTCTAATAATACTAAATAAAAATGCAAAAATAAAAATACACACAGAGGATAGTCTTCTTTTTTGAGAGAATTTTTTTTAATATTTATTTTTTAGTTTTCAGCGGACACAACATCTTTGTATGTGGTGCTGAGGATGGAACGCAGGCAGAACGCATGCCAGGCGAGTGCACTACTGCTTGAGCCACATCACCAGCCCCATAGTCTTAATAATACTTTAAAATGAGCATATAGAAGTATAAATATTAAGAACTTTAAAAAAAAAAAGCTATTGCTTAGCAAAGCACATTGGTTGGCAGTCTTCCTCTAGAGTTCCTGCTATGGTGTTAGGTGTCATTTTGGATCACTTATTTTTTTTTTTTAGGGCTGATGGACCTTTATTTTATTCACTTATTATATGTGGTGTTGAGAATTGAAGCCAGTGCCTCTCACACGTGAGGCAAGCGCTCTACCACTGAGCCACTCTTTAGGGGAGAAGCCTTCCTTGTATTGGGTTTCCTTAAATAACTGTTTGCCTCATAATCAAAAGAAACAAAGAAATTAGCTCCTTAAAAATGACCAAGGGGGGCTGGGGATGTGGCTCTAGCGGTAGTGCGCTCGCCTGGCATGCATGTGACCCGGGTTCGATCCTCAGCACCACATACAAAGATTTTGTGTCCGCCGAAAACTAAAAAATAAATATTAAAAAATTCTTTCTCTCTCTCTCTCTCTCTCTCTCTCAAAAAAAAAATGACCCAGGTATCTGTGTGTCTAATTTACAATGATGTATCCAGTGAATTAAGAATACAAAGTACAACTCAAGACCTACAGTAAATATAAGGGGTACTTGTTGGCTATCATGAACAAAAAATATGGAGAACAGGGGCAAGGAGTCGAAGAACAAATACACCAAATAACTAGTACCTAAATGGTCAAGACCTAAACGTAACAACTTAGAAAGTGGTGCCTTGTACCGTTAGCACACAGTGAAACTGACTGTCATACACACCTCTACTCAACCTAAGGCTCAAAGCACCAGATCTCCTGGGTGCACACAGCCAGCGTTTGTCTATAGAGTCCGTTCTATGCACATTCACTGCTCCTCTAGGTAGGAGCAGTGCTGGAGGACGACAGCTTCCTGTCCCCAAGGTCTTGTTTTTTGTAATGGGCCAAGGCAGACAACACTGTCTTAGACATTGTTTAGGGTAGTGAGTATACTTTCTAGAATCATTAAAGCATTTGAAAATTGACTATTAATAGTTAAATAAATCTTGATCTTTTTTCTATTTTTCTCACTTATTGAATACACTTGTGCTTATCGTATAAGGGCAATAGCTCACAGAGCACTAATTAATAATACCTCAAGATGAAGAGTAAATAAGTCTTATTTAAAACTCTGACACTGTTTGGGACTATTTCTACTCTTCCAACTGTAACAGTTGGCTGTAACTTTTTGAACAATAATTATACACTATTTACTAATAGTGAGTAAGATTCAGCTTCAGGTTCATTAGTGGTCCCTAGTATTTTGTTGGGCTTCGTAAGCTGACCCTTTCAGTCTTTTCAGGTAACTATGGAAGTAGTTCATGCAATCATACATTATCATGCAGTTTTTAATGACTTTAAACAAATTCAACCTAAGACATTAAAATTGCAAGCCTGAAGATTGTTAGAGAATTGTTCTCCTATGTAACAGAGTTATTAGTACTAAGAAATATCTTTAAAATCAAGACAATTATTGTTTTAACAGGCACCCAGGCAATCTGGCAGCATACTCTCTGAGGAAGTGAATGTGAGATGAGTAGATGATTAGAAAATTTTAAAGAGTTAGTTGTGAAACTCCAAGTACTAATGCATATAAATAAGACAGGAGTGGCCTTGACATTTATAAAGATTTTGCAATATCAAAATGCTAGTCAGCACCGAGCACAAAGAAAGTTGCCTGTATGAAAATCAGGGAATTCCAATTTCAGACTTCCTCCTGCCCCCACTGTAGCTATTCACATCCAGAATGATGCCACCTTCCTCACTATGCACCATTGTCCTATGTCCTGTGTCACTATGCATCCATTTCTGATTGACTGGGTGTTTGTTTGGAACTGCCTTTAGAACAGTTCAAGTATTTCCCAATCCTGTGACCACACTGTGTGCCCTTCCCAGGCACTGCCTGAGGCAGAAGACATTCCTCTGGGCTCTGAACTGATGTGTCAAAATCTCCAGGGGGGAATTAGTGTGTCCAAGGTGAGCAAGTTTTTTAAAAACCAGCCTTGAACAGGAAATCAACCCCCCAAAATAAAACAGCCCTCCGGGCTGTTACCAAGCCTGCTTCCCTGTGCCTCTGCTCTCTCCTGAGTTCAAAAGCAAGGTCACTCCTACACTCACATCCCAAAGTCACCTGCCAGATGTCCCTTGGCACCAGAGGCCACCCGTCTGAAAGGAGATGGTGTGCATCCTGTCCTTTGTGCACTCATGCCCACCTGAGGCCATTCTTCCCAGAAGGTGGAAGTTCTGCTGGCTCCCACTGTGGACCAGACTAGCTGGTTTACTCCAAGTTCTGGAACTTCGCAGCTGTGCAACCTGGGAGAAGTTATGTTACCTCTCTGAGCCTCAGCTTCCTCCTCCCTTAAATGGAAGATTCAGTAAGCACCAGGGAGAGTACCTGGCAGATGGAGATCTCTGTTAGGTATTAGTGTAGTTGTTGTATTGTTGGAATTGCTGTCAAGGTAGAGCTCTACGAAGTTGCTCTGCTTTCTAAATATATATAAAAATGTTCAACTATTAGTAATGATTCCAACCATCTCAACAGATGGGCTCATCCTTCAAGATAATAAAACACAATGTACTGAGGAACGTCTGCCTGTTTATATTTATGGCCCGTCCTTTCTTTCCTGCCCTGGGCAGCTAGATTTTCAGCCCAGTCTGTCTGCATTCCACAATAAGCAGGTCTGAGAACGGTCACTTACCAGCTGAATAACAGGAGTTGTTGGGTAGTGTTTCTGGCATATTCTGAATACATCGGAACAAAGTCACCAGACTCAACTCGTCCCCAAAGACGTGGACTTTTTTCCTCTGTATGAGGTGTCCCATGGCAAAGGTGCTATCGGTGTACAAAACCTGAGAACAAACCAAAGAACACTGCCAGAGGAGTGCACGGATCGGGAGGCATCGGACTATAAACAGGAGGCTGTGGACCTACCTGGCCATATATAAAGAAGTACCCGGTCTCTTTCACCACTATTTTATTCTCTTTTTCTTCCAGGGCTCTTCCTCTCTTAAAGCTGAGAAGCCATGGGACAAATGTGTAAGCTCCTATAAGGAAGAGAAGTATTCATAAGAAAGGGACCTGAGAAAAGTAGTTTCCACTTAATTTTTTAAATAAGTAGTTGTTTACCTGAATCTGAAACTTAACGTGAATTTCATCTACTTAAAAAATCATAAAAGAGGAAAAGACGACGAATCGCCACACCCATTGGATTCTCTGGTCTCTTATGCTCTGACCCGGGCCAGAGTCACATTCCAGGATCTGACAGCTGGCACCTTGGGCATGTCTGGGCTTCCTGACATTGTGTCATGATACAGGCTGGTCTGCAGGGAAAGCCTGCAGGGAAGGCTGGACACAGGTCCCAACAGCACACTGGTAGAGACTGTCCTCTGATCCTCAGGGAGTGAGTCATGCGAAGAGCTTAGCAGAAGCCACGAGAGGAAACCAGCCCACTGTGCCCTGGCAGCAGAGCAGAGCCAAGCAGAGGGGAAGGTCACTGGGCTGCCACGGGCTTCCCAGGAAGGGAAGGAGCTCCGGTGACCTTAGCATCAAGTTCAGGTACTGCGCGTTCACTGGCACGTGAGGAGTGACAGGGAGACAAACACTTGCTCAAGATCTGATGAAGGGCAGGCAGGAAATGCAGCCACAGAGCAAGCAGGCAAGGTCCAGAGTCGCTGAGCCAGAACAGGCCTGGGCATCTCGACACCCACACCCGGTGACCAGACAGACCTCCTCCCTGGGCTCCAGCTCAGTCTGGTTCCTCACAGCTCCATTATGCAAATACTGGTGTGGGGGGACCTGACGTCTAGCCACTGGGAGATGATCACATAAAGTGGAAGCAAAACAGGGAAACGGAAGGCTACAGAGATGGCGGTAAGGACAGCAAGATGAAGTGTGGAGGCTGGAAGCCATGTTTACAGTGTTCCTGGATAACTGGCAAAGCTGAGCCACGTGTGTCTCCAAACTCCACCTTGGTCATAGCAAAGGGAGGGTGAGGTGAACGGCAGAATATGCCAGAAACTCAAGCAAAGAACAGCTTTTCCTGGATTTGAGGCTGAAGAGTTTCCACCCAGGGATCCTCAAAAGGGCTCAGAGTGACATGCAGCTGACAATTGTAGAGCTCCCTCCCCCAGGCTCCTCATAGCTTTATTGAGGTAAAACTAAAGCACAATAAAATGCATATATTGAAGTATGAAATTTGATCATTTTGACATATATATAATCAATACTATCAATACAAAAAGCATTTCCACTACTTTTTTAAAATTTGAAATCATGCAGACTTGTTTCCTGCATGACTTATTACAGTAGAAATCAATCACCTTAAGATATAGAACCCCACCCCCATCTGTCAACTATTTAAAAATTACACGGCACACACATAAATATCTCAGGAAGATTCCTTATAATGTGCCTTGGTGTGGGTCTACTAGGAGTCCTATAAGCCTCTTGTATTTGATTTTTTTTTCATTTCATTCTTTAAGTTTGGGATATTTCCTGATATTATTTCATTGAAAAGATTGTACATTACTTTGGTTTGTATCTCCACACTCTCATCTATCCCAATAAATCTTAAATTTGATCTTTTCATGTTATCCCATCTTTCTGTTCATGGTTTCTTAGCATCTTCTCTCCATGGTCAACTCTATTGTCAAGATTATATACTTTGTCCTCATTGCCTGAGACTCTGTCTTTCCAGGTGGTCTGGTCCGTTGGTGATGTTTTCTACTGAATTTTTAATTTAGTTTATTGTTTCCTTAATTTCAAGGATTTTTTTTTCAGAATCTCTTTATTGAACTGATCTTTTGCTATGACTGTATTTGCTCTTACATAATCCTTTACTTCAGTCTAACTATGCACATTCTAAACTCCTCTGACGGTTCTTCCACTTTGGTGCTGATGGATTCTGTGACTGGAGTATTTTGGTTTGCTTGGGCAAGTTGTTCCTTTGCTTTCTCAAGTTGTGTGTCTACCCATCTAACAGTATGGATCTGAGGCAGGCGAGTTTCTACCCTGTGGACTTATAGTGTCCTTTTGAAGGCTTCTAGTACCTCATTGTTGAGGGGGAGACAACAACCTAAACCAACAATTCACAGCATAAACAAAATATTTCCTACTTTGATGTCTACAATGTTAATTATCACAATAGATGATCAGTTATTGCCTATAATAAAAACAGCAAGTTGCAAAAAGGTTTATAATTTCAAATGGTAGACGGGGATAGAACAGAAGTGATAATAGGATGTGATTATGAGGGAGGAGGAAGGAAAAAGCAGTAAAAGACTAAGAGTGAAAGAGCAATAGAGATTGGCAGAAGGAATCAAGGAAAACGGGTAGGAAGAAAAATTATACAGTAAAAATTAAGATCAAATTAAAACTGAAAGAACACAAAAAACAAAATTAAAACATACTAATCAGTCTGGTTTACAAAAAAACTGATCCACGAAAAATAACTGGCCTCAAATGCTATAAATGAGGAAAAACTCAAATATGAATATGTATAAATGTCCATTGTTTAAGTTTGTGGAGAGAAGACTTAAGACGTGTTCTTTGAATTTTTCAGGAAGGTGACATGTTATCACTGTAATTACCATGCTGTAGACAGACCTCTGGAACCTCTTTGTCCTGCGAAACTGAAACTCTTTGGCCCGATTCTCCCCAATCTGCAGCCCCTGCCTCAGTAGCCACTATCCTACTGCAAGTTCAATGACTTTGAATCCCATATACAAATGAGACCATGTGGCGTTTGTCTTTCTGGGTCTGGCTGACTGCAGTTACACATAGTCTTCCAAGTTCACTGTGTCGTGACAGATGGCAGAACTCCCTCCTTTGCAATAGCTGCAGGCATGCAGCTGTGTGTGGCACTCATCTTCATCCATCCCTCTCCTGATGCACACTCAGGTGGGTCACATTCTGTCTCATATGAATAATGCTGGGATCGGTGCAGAAGTGCTGATTCCACTCCTTTAGATAGATACACAATAGTGGGACTGCTAGGCCATACGGTTCTATTTTTATTTTTAAAAGGATCTCCACACTGTTTTCCATAATGGCTGTATGAATTTATATTCTCAATCCAAATAATATTCTTGATGGAAGAATATAAAGAAAATATGTGGTTCTTATTTTATGTTTCTAAGAAGTCAAAGAGCCAGAGATGCTAAAACAAAACCGACTGCGCTGTGATTTCAATTAAAAGCAAGCGAGGGCTCCTTTGGGCATCTCTTCAAGTTCACATTTCACAGCTGTGGAGGGTGGTGCCAAGAAGACCAGGGCAGCGGGGGCAGGAAGGCTGGAGCGAGGCTGGCTGTGCAGAGATGTGCTGCTGGTCTTCATGGACACTTCTGTGCTCACTCCCAGGAGCCACCCCCACCACTGTCACTACGGGAGCCATACAAGGGCAGCGAGTGAGGGTCAGGGCAGGGCCGGAACAAAGGGGCAGGAGAGGGTCTTCAGATGAGGTCAGCTTCCTGCTCCAGGAAAGTGTCGTGGACACAGCGGGGACCTAATCAGACTGGCACTTCCTGCTGGAGTTCCTTAGCAGGGGACCCAGTAGAGAAACAGGCGCGTGGACAGAGGGTGCGTGGACAGGGAGGAGATGAGAGGAAGAAATTCCAGGGACCATAAAGAACAGGCCCAAACCACCCACCAGATTCCCAGCTCAGGGGCCCCTTCTCAGAGAAGTGTGTCTGTCCCTTTTGAGATAAACCTGCTGCTTGCTGTCCCTGTGTCCTGTTGCTCAGCTCTTGCTGAGCAGAGACAACCAACCCAGTGTGCTCACACAGTAACTTCATGTCCTCAGAAGGGAACATGACGTGGGGCACGTCTGGTGGCTCTTGCCAAACAAGGGCTCTGGAGAACCTTCTCCTCACCTGAAGACCCCCAGGGCCACACTGGAAGGCGGCCGAAGATAACAAAGGCAACATCCTCTCCAAAGACCCCATGGACTCTCAGTGAAGACCGCGGTACACTTTTGTATTCAGCTTTGTTTAAATGAGATGATTTGCCTGAGGCCCTTTAAATGTTAAATGCTGAAAATCACAAGGAAGAGTGATGGCAGACACCAGGATGACAGGCTGTCTCCACGGTCTGGTAATAGGACTTGATGCTCTGACCCAGGACCGCTCTTTCCCCCTCAGGACACCTACCTTAGATCCTGACTCCCCTGAGCTCAAGGACTGTTCACGTCTGGTTCCCCACTAATTTTTCAAGCTTAAAATGATGCCCAGCCCACAGAAGGCGCGCAGCAAACTCTTATTAAATGAACTAATCCAACTTTAAACATAAAATACTAAATGACGACGTACTATGGCAACTAGACAAGCATTCTACTGTTCTTCTAGAAGGATTTTGCTGCTAGTTTCTGAAATCTGGGAAATGAAATGCCAGCCATCGAAAAGCTAGGATGTCCTCATGAGAGCCCTTGTTTACATTCTGGCTAGGGATGTTATTTACTAAAATTCCTTTTGCAATGATTTAAATTTACTTCTTTTTACCAGATATTTCTCTTGGCACTACATCATCTCTTTCTGGCAATATTCTTACTAAAAAGATACAGCCCCTCTTTACTTGTTCTTATTTGCTGTCTTATTCCTTTTCCACTCTACACCCTCAGTCACCCATGAACACAGGTGTGTGCACAAGCACACCCCCATACACGCTGTGCACGTAAACACAGAGATCATAATCTGTAAGATCAAAGAGTTAGTTGGCTGCAGTCCTAATCCTTGCCAGTGAGACAGCCTCACACAGTGTGCATTCTATGAATATGTGCCAGTGAATGAATTTCAGATCCTTTAAGAAAACAAGCTAAACAATAAGTTAAAAGCTAACTATAAGTATAAATATTATAACCAATTATATATGTTTAAACTCATTTAGATTTTTAACATGAGAGTTAGACTATAGATCAATGCAAAGAAGAAAACATGCATTAAAACCTTCCCTGTAGAGTACTTTTCTAAACCAATACGCCTCACTCCTTACAGCAGATGCTTAAGAATTTGGGGGGCTGGGGCTGTAGCAGAATGGTAAAGCACTCGCCTTG